ACGCTAGCATTAATGCGCATAACTTTTCTTTTGGTAACATTTTGGTAATTACCTCTTTGTTTGCCGAAGTTATCAAACGATTTAGGTTGCGAGACATGTCATTATATCTGTGTGTCATCAGACATAAGTCATCGGCGTAATCGAGATCACACAAGCTATCTTGATGACCCCAAGTTATTCCGCCACAGCAACGGCGAGTATTTTGTTGCTTAGATATTTCTCATGCAGTATCCGGCAACTTGCATCCTCGTATATGGCTTTGATGAGCCTGATGATGTGTTGCAGCACACCCTTATGTCAAGCGCGTTCCAAATGACAGTGTGACATAGTGTATCAAACGCTTTTATATAAATAATAAATATAGAGTTGATCTCCATTCTACAGACTGTTCGACGATTACTCTTAGGCTGTTTATGTGATCAATACAAGACTTGTGTGGGCGAAATCCAGCTTGTTCTCTGCGCAACGTTGATGTTAATGCTGTTGAAAGTCTGTTGGTGATGACATGCGCTATTGTGGTTGGATGATCTGTGCGCTTGTATGTGGTTCACTTTTCAATAGTTCCGGTGCTAAACCGTCGGGTCCTGGTGCTTTGCCGTTCTTTAGTGTTTTATTTGCACTTATGATCTTTGCGATATCGGGGCAGGAGGTGGAAATGTTGCTATTTTTAGAATGCCTATCGCAGTCGCAGTGCAATTAAGCCTCGGAACGTTCATTTGTTAACAAATTACTGTAAAATTTGGACCACAGATCCATTTGTTTGCATTGGTCTGTAACCAGTACTCCATTTTCGTCTTTCAACGGCTTACTGCTTCTGGTGTTATTTTCAGTAAGCTTTCTAGTAGTTTTATACATATCACCACTTCTATGTAATTCAGCTGCGGTTTGAGCTTCCTTGGCTATACTATCATACCACTTTTTTTTGCCACGACGTGCACTGCGTTTTATTTGCTGGTTATATTGCTTGTATTGCGGGCTGATTTAGCGGCCCGCATTCTTGCATGATTTATTTTAGCTTTCTTAATTTTTCTGTTTTCAAGTAAGCACTACGTTTCGTCTGATATCCATTGTTGGCGTGAACGATCATAAAAACCAATTTGGTCCTTGGTGGCATCAGTGAAGATGGTCTTGACAGTTTGCCATTCCATACGCTTTTCGGTAGTTGTTGAGTTTAGTGGCGATTTCAACTGATCGGTATACCCTGTCATAATACTGGGTCCTTTAAGGTTCTGGATGTTAATTTTCTTCGGCACTTTGACTTTCTTGTCACTTATTGCACATATTTTTAGTCGGATGTCGGCGGTGATTAGGTGCTGATCGCTAAAAAGGTCCGCTCCTCTACGATTCCGTACATCCATTAGCTATCCACGCCATTTCTTAGAGATGGTGATGTGGTTGATTTGATTTTCAGTTCTATGGTCTGGCGATACCCATGTGATTTTATGTATGCGCTTGTGCGGAAATATTGTCCCTCCTATAACCAAGTTGTTCGTTGCGCACATTCCAGTAAATCTCGAACCATTTTCTGTTTTTTTACCGATGTCATGTTTGCCCATACAGCCTTCTAAGCCCGTGTTTTCAGCGAAATCACCCATTACAATTAGTATATCGGCTCTCTGAACACATGAGATAGCTTTATCAAGGGTGTAGTAAAAATCCTCCTTAATGGAAAAGTCTGCATCTTCGGTAGGTGCGTAGCATTGAATGCAAGATAAATTTCTAGCTCTGGTCCGTAGACTTATGGAAATGACCCTGTCTGAAAAAGCCTGTCAGTTCATTAGTGCTTTGCGGGTCTCTTTTGGGAGCAAAAACCCGACTCCATTTCTTCGGGGCTGATTTATTCCACTACCAGAGAAAATAATGCTCGCCTGCTGTTGTTTGCTCAGCAGTATCAGGCCAACGTACTTCGGAGAGGCTTAAGAAGTTAAGTTTGTAGTTTTTAAATTCGTTGCACAACTGCGCAAGTCGTGATGATACCAAAAGCGTCCTCACATTCCAGGTTCCGAATCGTGCATTATTTTTCATGCTCAAGGTCGTCATCGATAAGTTGTTGCCATTTCTATTATTATTTATTATGGTTTCGTTAATCGGTTGATTTAAGATTGACAGATGGCTATCCGCCATCTGCGTCCGAGGAGTCTCAGGGGTGGCTACATTAAATTTTTTGCATTGTCCGCGTTTACTATTACTTATTAATTTCTGCTAACAACACAAAACTGTTCTTGAATTTTAACAGAATTTTCTGACATATAAACGCTTTTTTTCATGCATTAATTAACTTATGCCAATGGAAAAGATAAATCTAAATTTGATTAACATAAATTGATTAAGCTGCAGTGGGAAAATGGTATTAGTCATTAGTAAGTATTTCTAATGACACATATTTCTATGACTCTAATTAAGAAGTAATTGTCGAAATAGACATGTTTTAAAGTTTTTATTAAAACGTTTTAAATTATAAGGAAAAACTATAACTGTTGGAAAAACATAGAAATAATTATATTATCTTCCTCACAATTTATTTACATGTCTCACTATAAAGAATTGTATTTACTTGTTATATGACTAGAAGGAATACATATTTCATAAACAAAAACTGATTGATTTAACCAAGATTGTAGTCTTAAAATAATCATAAATGTAATTGTACAAACAAGATTTGTACACTATGTAAATTGTAATAAATTACAATTATATCTATTTAAATTCGAGAACATTTTAATTAATATATTTTAACAAAAAAATTGTATGTCTTAATGTGATTATAAAACTTGGACTACTAAATTCGTAACACCAAAAATGTATATCCATGTCTTTAGTCAAATAATACTGTACTATCCTTTTTGGAGAGAAAAAATATGCAATTATTAATATCTCTACAAAAAGATTGATACTGAAATTTAATAATTAAAAAACTGTAATTAATTAATTTAATCATGATTTTGTTCTAATATAACACAACAAATGAATTTGTTAATGATCTTTAACAACGAAACAAAAACAAAAACTCTAAGTTAGAACAAAACTGGTCAAGTATGTCTTTGTCTCAGTTGACAAATTAACACTGACTCTGAGCTTCAAATTTAGCAGGATACAAATCTAATCTTTACTCTTTGGTATATTAGATATTTGACAATATTCGAAACGGCTATATGGTCAGCCAAAAAATTAATTAATTGATAATAAAATTTTTTTGTTTCACTACTATTCAAAAACTTCTTTATATATAGTTAAGTTTTGAGTTGAAAAAAAGTAAATGTGTCTCATATTCTACAAATTGTGATTACCATATTTTAACATTAAAGAACATATAACAAGAAGTAAAACTGATTAACACAATAATTGTCCAATAACACATACATAATATGCCGGTTATATGCTTGCTTAATACAATAAATAAATTATCACAATACTGTGCAAAATTGGCTTTTATACACAACTTTGTGAAGTTGCTATGTAAAACAACAAAATTTGAACAAAGAACGATAAAAATCTACGTTGTTAATTGTGGTGAAAATGCGAAATGCGAAATGCAAATTTTGTGCAACTAATGGATGCATTGTTGGGTTCCTTCTAATATATATATTATATATATATAAACTTAGGCTATTGGGTTTTAAATATAATGAAAACACAAATAAATATTACCAATAACTTTCCATACTATGACATAAAAGCAGTTGTATTCATTTGCACCAGAATTCTCCTAGTTTTAAAAAATAAGTAGAATAATTTAATTTATACTGTAGTGCAAATTGCAATTTTATATACAATTAAAACTAAACAATAAACAGATGATTGTATAAATACTCTTATCTAAATATCAACTGTCCCAGAAATAATTATATGACATATTATATTAACATACAATAGGTTATTTCCGACTTATTCGTTAATCTGCAGAAAATTATTCCTTGGGTCAAAGAACGAAAAAACACTCCTAGGTGCTCTTTTTATACAAAATGATATTGAAAAAGATGTCAAAAAAATCTACCCAACAAAAAAATTCCAAGTCAATAAAACTTCAATATCTCCAATATTGTTTACTGAACTAGCTTTATATGCCTTTGTATTTTATATTGTTATATCGGGCATAATAGTTCCTTAAAGTAGAATTTTTTAAAACATTTTTTAATATATTTTCTAAAAAAAAAAATTAATTTTTAAATTTTTTTTTGGATTTGTTTCATGTATTATTCTCGCTTCATTTTGTGAACATTTTCCATGAAAAAATGTTTAATGGAATATACGCCTTTTTTCTGTTTTAGACATTAGAAACAAGTTACTTACTACTTTTTTGACAAAATCGAACGATTTCATTTGTGCTTTTTTCTGATAACTCATTTCTGAAAAGTTGAGTACTTTTGACCGAAATTTTTTTTGGGTTGACTTTTCTATAATACTTTGTACTTTAGCGAATATTGACAATGCCCCTCAAATAAAAAATTTTTCGTCTCTTGGCTCAAAGAATTTTTTAGTTGATTTAAGACAAACAAGTCGGAAGCATCCAATTTACAATATAGCGATAAATCGCTAAACTTTCCACAAATAAAAAAAAAATTCACGATAATGAAGAATTTGTAAAACGTTCGAAACGTCCAAAAAGAGGCATGGTAAAAAATTTCAGGTTTCTTCTATTCTTAAATTAAATTATTTTTGTAGCATGAACTTCTTATAAAAATTCTTAAAGATTTTTTATATCGATATATTTTTAATTGTTTTAACAATAATTAAAAATTTAATGATGCGATTGAGAAATATATATACCTACTTTACTTAAGTTGTTTGATAGTGCTGTATGCAAATATGAAATTTTTAATTTGTTAATAATAATACATAAAATGATTATAAAAAGGTTTGCAATATTTTATTTTAATTAATTACCTCTGAAAAGATGGAATATCGAATGTGGTACTTGCAATGCCATGTGAGTGAGTGAAACTTATTTTAGTATAATAACGCTAAGATTTTATTTTATATCAAATATATATAATACTTACATTCTAATCTCGTAAAATTTGCAATGTTTGAAGGTGAAACGTCAGTTTTATGCAGATTTGGACGCGTTCTATAATCTCGCATTTGATATTTAATATTGGGAACTGATAATAATCGTTGTTCTCTTTTATCTTTTAAGTTTAGTCGACTTAATTTTATTGGAGAAACAATAGAGGGCGACAAAGGTAATTCACATGGCCTAGCGTTAGAAGCTTGTTTATTGCAACTATCAGTGTTTATAGAATCTACATCTTTTATTAACGTCCCAAGCTCTTTTGAGTTATTTACATCATTTTCTTTGCTAGTTGTGGGCATAACAGCTGTTTTCAACAAGTATGTACTTTGCTTTTCGCACGTACTTGGAACAGATTTATTGATTGTTTTCGATGCATTATCGTGTTTATTTACATCTATAGTTGTACTTGAATTTATTATGTTATCATTATAGCCCAAAGCAGTATCACCAACTTCAATATTATCATCACATATACCCTCAGGAGAGCCCTCCTTTGGAGCATAAAATACAGAATTGTTCTTCATTGATTCATTTTCATTATTAGGATTATACCCAATTTTAATATTGACTTTTGATAATTGACGTTTAAAATTAAAAGTTTTCCATGACATTGACTTTCGTCTGTCTGGCTGTGTTTCTTTATTCAAAATTGACGTTTCGTTTTGTAAAATATTTTTTGTAACGTTTAGGTCAGTTTCAGGTGAAATTGAACGCGATGAGTTTGACTGATTTGGAAAAGATAATGAATGTGCTTCGTTTTCTTCGAGAATATGTTCTATAGATGGGCTCTCAGGACTTCTAATGTCGTTAAGCTAAATTAATTTACAAGTATTTTAATAAAAATTAGCACACAAATTAATTGCTATTTTAAACACTTCATTGAGCTAAGTTAAAGGCAATTTTTTATTCTAGTGATGTTTAACATATATGTATTTTCATGTACTAAAAGATTAATTCTATTATACTGAACTCAAACAAATAGTTTCGTTTAGATGTAAAAATGGACTGATAATCTTGTAAACGAAATTAATTATGTTTGTAAAACCAAATATTTTTTTATTTCCGAAAATCTGATTCTGATAGGAAAATCAGTATTATTTTCATAGGGATAAAGCCTCATTATTGATTCAAATAGGCTCAAAACATTTTTTTCAGTGAACGATTTAAAATAATAGTGCCTCGTTATTTTAAAAACGATGATTGAATTGAGTAATATTTATGATTATTTGGAAATGAATTTAATTTAATAAACTTAGAAAAAATATATAGGAATTTTAAATCATTTTGTTAAATGATAAAATGTGGAAAAATATTAAAGCTTTTATTAACAATATATTTAAAATATATTGAAATTTACATCATATGGTTTAAGTTAAATTTTTGACTTTTCTTTACAATAAAAGTTGTAAAGCACAATTATAAAGACATTAGATATAGGTACAAGATGTTTCCTATATAGCTCTGTAAATTCCTGAGCTGATTACATTGCCTAAAAAACGATAAAAATTGTACGAGAAAGCGTCCATTTTCAAAGTTTACCGAAATTTATAGTGTCAAACTAAAATCTACTTGAAGAAAACGTGGTTAAAAAAACTAAATCTAGATCTAAAACGGTTCTTTGAAATAGTTTAATTTTTTTTCCAGTTTATAGCTCATAAAAACATCAATTATTTTAAAATTTTTGTATATTTTATTATGTTGTGAATTATTTACTGGAAGACTTTTCTTTTATTATTAACTCTTTTCCTGCAAGCGTTTTTCTAATGTATTTTTTCACAGAAATTCATGAATTTTAATTATTAAATTTAGGGAATATTTTTAAAACCCTAATAATTTGCAAGTATAAAATGTTTGAATAAAAAATATTTACAAATATTCTAAAATAATACAAGTTTTCTGCAAAAAGGACCGTAAATATCCCAAATTCAATTTGAATCATTACAAATTCTGAACGCATTAACCGTTTAGCGGACATATTATCCATCAAATCAAATTATATTTGATGTACTAAAATCTGGTATATGACTTAAGTACTTCTAACGAGATAAGTTCTTTTGATTTGCATATTTTTTAGAGTAGAGCTTTCTGTGGTAACCTCACATCTTGATAATTGAAAATAGATCCCCTCCCTTACAATATTTTTCATTTCTTGGGTCAAGAAATCAGATAAGGAAGGATAAGGATAAGAGTAGAGTCTTCTGTGGTAACTTCACATCTTGATAATTGAAAATAGATCCCCTCCCTTACAATATGTTTCATTTATTGGGTCAAGAAATCAGATAAGGAATTTACGAAAGCTATACAGGAGAAATTATGTATTTCTCTGTTTAATATTATTCTTTTTTTTGCTATTGGAACAAGTTTTAATTCTTTTTCAAATAATGGGTCGATAAAAATACTAAACTACACTTACGACATATACCTATAATAACATATGTAAATATATTTTGAAACCAAGTTATATTGAATTACTTTACCATGCTTCAGATTGTGCGCTTTAACTTTACACCATATAAATACATGTTAGAATATATTTATTTATAATTTGTTTTAACCAGTTCTGGGCAAAAGTATTCTGAACTTTATTATATAATAATTTGTAAATGAGTTTATTTTATTAAAAAAATACAAAAAATCGAAGAAAAATATATGTATTCTTAATGAAGCTAGCAATAATCAATTTAAAATAAAAAATGAATAATTGTCATAAAAATTTTGACGTTCCCGATTTAAAAAACAATCAAAAAAGAAAAAAATCATTCCAATAGCAATATGTATTACTTTATTCATTTTTTATATTTCACAACTGTTATATAAACAACATAATTGCTTCAAAAAGCTAGTTTTTTACAAAATAATATAATTAAGGTAAGACGCTTTAACTAAAACTATGCATCTTATTTGAAAAGCAATGAAAAAAATAAAGTAATTTATATTAAAATAATTTGAAATTAAAAATCTAAAAAATCATAAGAGACTTCTTAATAATTTAAGCCTCTAATGTATGACAACATAAATAAATATTTTACTATAAATATATTTTTATTTAATGAAATGTTTATTGTGAAATTAAAAATATACAGTACCTGATCAGAGCCTGGTGAACGATTTTGGTCCTCCCTATTCTCCGTTCGTTTTGGACTTTTCGGATTTCTTAAAAAAGGATCATGAGCACCATACAAATCAGGACATACAACACTAAGTAAACATATTTTTTGTACAATGTCCACTACGACAAGTCCATATTCTGTGCCATATGCCATTCTACAAAAGTTGTTAGACGTCAATTTTTATAAAATCTAATAATAATTTAAATATAACTATAAAAAAAATAAGCATAGATGATGACAAATACAGATTGATTATACCAATACTTCGCATATGATTGCCGAATGTCATAGAAAGCACATTTTTCCGACTCCCACCGAAATTGATATTAGTACTTAGCATTTTGCGAATCATTAACAAAAAGTATATTATTACAAATCGTATAGAAATTGTTGAGATTTATAGCCTAAATTATATATACATTCGCACTATGTTTTGAGCATTGCATGAATTTAGATATTGGTAGTGTTTGAGATATCATAAATCCATTTTGACAAAACTGAAACATACTGTAAAGCATCGATACTTAAAACCAAAATGTACATAGGTCATTCTTTTACAAACCGGACGGATTTTGGTTAAAAATGAGCTCATGATCTCCGATTTGGTTGAAATTTTTTTCATGAGCTCCTTTCATAAAATAAGAAGACTTGTATCTCGGGAAAAAATTTTGTGAAATTTTTCCTATGAGATATGGACCCATGGGGTTTTGAGAATTGTCATAGTAGACACATTTTCAAATGGCTATATCTCAAGTTCTATAAAAGGTAGAAACTTGAAATTTACAGCGTTTCAAAGATAATTGATTGAACTTTTATGTAATTGTTTAAGCAATTAAAATTGTTAATATTTAAGTACTAATATTAACCGTTAAATTTCAAAAAAAAAATTATCTCAAAAAAAAATTTTTTTTAAATTTTCATTTTTTATATTTTATTTAGATTCAGTTTTAAGTTTTACTGCGAAATAAAAATCTTCAGGAACCTATTATTTTTTGAAATATTTTAATATTTTTTTTCTCCCGCAAAATACATCAAGCACATGCGTATTACATTTCCATTGAATGAATTTTCAAAAAATATATTACATATATTCTTATATAATATTTTTGATTTCGATTAGTAATAAAATTCTATATAAAACCCAAAAATTTCAGGACGATATTGTAATTAGAAGTACTTTTAAAAATTTATTTATTCTTCATACCACACCAAACACATACACACGATTTTTCAGTACAAAAAAAAAAGGAATATGTCACACAAATTTTTTTTTTATTTTTGATTCAAATTAATATATAAATTCTACTTAAAAAATAAATATTTCCACTGTGATAATCCTTTTAGAAGTAATTAAAAAAAATGAATTAATCAGGTGTTCTTCACGTTAGTCATACGCACCATAGTACCATAAAATCAATTTTCGAAGCAAAACGATACAAAAATTTTTACTCTTTATTTCTGAATTGAGTTTATCATTAAATTCTACATAAAAATGAAACTTTTTTGGACCTTAGTATTCTCAGAAGTATTTTTATTGAATAAATAAATCACAAATTTAAAATTTTTAATATTCCTCCGGATAACTCTAAGAATAGCGATGAAGAAGATGACTCGCATCAATTTTAAAAACTCAGCAGGAAAAGTTTAATGGCACAACAGATGGAACTATGAAAATAAAAAAAGTGGGTGTGATGCATAATTGGTCTATCCGAAAGGGTCACGACTTACTTCTTAAACGTTACAAAATGTATGACTACTGTTGCTAAAAAACTTACTTCAGAGAAATGAATCTTACTTCAATAGAGTTTTAAATGAAGAGAAATGAAACTTACTTCAATAGAGTTTTAAATTTTTGCGAATGTGAAGAAAACAGTCAAGTAATGCCTGGGAAAAAAATCTGCATATCCATACAAATTGACGGAAAAAGAACACAAATGCAAAAACGGTCCTTTCTAAACAATTTGAAGGAGTTGCATACTCTTTTCAAACTCAACCATCCAGACCTGTAATGTAGTTTTTCAAAATTTGCATCATTACGACCACAACATTGCGTTCCTGCAGGAGCAAGCGGCACACATTCAGTTTGTGTGTGCTTCATACACGAAAACATACGATTAATGGTAGATGGAGTGAATATAAAAGCACTGACTGCATGCAGTAGAAAACCGATAAATAACTATAAAGATTGCCTACAGCGCATGATTTGCAATACTTCACGCACAGAATGTTTTCTAGGAACCTGCGCCAAATGTCCTGGAACTGAAAATATCAATGAAGAACTTCTGGAGATATTTGATGACAACATGATTAACACCGTTAAATACAAACAATGGGATCGTGAAGAGAGAAGCACATTAAAATCGTTGACATCCCAAATAGACCAATATTTGCAATCCTTAACAAATGGTTTAGAAAAATTGCTGTTGCATTCTTTTATCGTTAAAAAACAGGCAGAGTTTTTAAATGATAAGAAAAGCCACTTAGGAAAAAATGAATGCATAGTATTGCGTGATTTTTCCGAAAATTATGCTTTTGTTGTTCAAAACTCTGTTCAAGGTATTCAAAATACCTTGAAATAATAAAATATCACTGCCTTATTCCAAATTCCAAAAAAGTATTATTGGTAAAAATATTTTCTTCTTCAGACATTACAGATTATGTAGTAATAATGAAATGAGAATTAATAAAATCAATGTAAAAACCATAAAAAAAAATATTTTGTTTTTAGCTCCTTACAGTTTTTTTCCTAAAACATTTCTTACCTGTGCACAGTATTTTTCCAACTGTAGCAAAATAACACTTCACCGAAAAAGGTAGGTGTGATTATGTGCTGCAGGTTTCTAGGTAGATCGGCTAATATGAAACTAATTAACTTTTTAATTCATCTATATAAGAAAAAAATGTAGTACGCATGTGCTTGATGTGAACTTGAGATATAGCCATTTGAAAATGTGTCTACTATGCCAATTCTCAAAACACCATGGGTCCATATCTCCTAGGAAAAAAATCACAAAATTTTTTCCCGAGATACGGGTCTTCTTATTTTATGAAAGCCAAATCGGAGATCATGAGGTCAAAAAGGTGTCCGAGTTGTAAAAGAATGATATAAATATAGAAATCGAGAGTAATCAATAGTATGTCGTTCTCTAGAACTTGGACTTTCTTATGACACCGTATGAAGTACTCTTCTTTAATATTTAAATTTTAAAGCCCTTAAAACTTAGTTCACTCCAGAAGTTTAACCAACTGACAATATATTGAGTATAAATTACTAAACTGCTGGATTTCACAGCGTTTTGAAACACAAGTCCATTACTTCATTGAGAAAACCAAAACAAGCTCGGACCTGACCGCCCAACAACTTCTGTTACTGAAGAAAACACTTGTGGTGGTTGCATATTCACCATTTAGTATTGAAAACAATATGAGTTGGCCATGCAAACATGAACAAATAAAATATTTAAAATGAGATGAGTTCTCCAGGCAGAAGAATTTGTAAAAAGCAAAGAACATTTTTATTTAGAAAAAATGATTGTCATTCGATTGCCATTCGTACACGTATAATTATTTTACTCGAAATTGAATTATTTTAAGTAAACAAATAAACAATTAAATTAAGTAGGGCAAAGCCAACAATTGGTGACCCCGACGTGATCAAAATGTCGCAAGTCGAAACAAGCAACAATAGCGCATTGGATAGAAACAACACGCCTGCAGATAGTAACGTACGAATTGTTTACAGAAACGAAAACCTCGAGGTGACATTTGCCGTATGGGTATCAAAGCACCAGCATTTTGTAAGAGGGATCTTGACCTGTACTTTCTCCAGATGGAATCCTTATTCCGAAATGCAGGAATCACAACAGACCAAACCAAGTATGATCATGTAGTCGTAAGTCTCGATAGCGCCACTTTAAGAAATATCGCAGACATCATTCGTGCTCCCCCTGCAGTTGAAAAATACGAAACGATTAAGAAGCGGTTAATTCAAGATTTTGCACACTCCGAAAATCGAAAACTGCGGCGACTAGTACAGGAGTGCCTGTTAGGTGACAACAAGCCAACACATTTGTTGCGCACCATGCGAGATCTAGCCAGCGGCGCCATGAATGATGGAGCAATAAAACAATTGTGGCTGAATAGTTCGCCTGAAGCAGTGCGAGCAGTCGTTTCAATTTCAGAGGCTAACTTGGACAAATGTGTGCAATAGGCAGACCTGATGTTGGAGATGGGAAACTACAATTCTTTAGTTGTCATCAACACATCTACACAGACTAATGATCATATCATGGAAGCCATAGACGCTTTGAGTAAGCAGGTTGCGGAGATAAAAACTGCACAAAGACGAAGCAGAACGAGATCGTTCGTTCCGTACTGATTCGCAAGTAAGACGTTATCCTATATGTTACTATCACTATCGCTTCGGTGCGGAAGCAAAAAAATATTCCTTGCCGTGTAGTTTCAATCAACAGGGAAACCAGTAGAGACTTCATCGGTGGCGGCCGATGAAGTCCAATTTGTAAATACGTCTAGCCGTCTGTTCATCACAGATCGAAACACACAATTCAAATTCCTGATAGATACTGGAGCTGATATCTCAATACTACCAGTGTGTCGGTTCAAAAACTCCAAGCTACAATCAAGTCAAGCGTAGCTTTGTTCAAAATCAAAACTAACAGAGGAAAATAAACTTCTATATAAACTCCTATGTATATAAAACGGTAATCAAGTACAAATACCACAAAGACTATAATTAAAAATATTTAGAACTATCATTAACGCTGACTGGTACATCTTAAACTATGACAATCATCGCGACAGATGTTACCCGAAAAAATATTAAAAATAACACAAATAGATTACTTTTACGCTGCAATGCGGCAACTACCAAATGACAAAGACATATATAATAGACGCTTGAAACTCTTATTTTCATCAGAAATATCAATATAACAATCTATAACTAGTTATTTAACATACACACAATACAATTTTAATCTCTTCATTGACTCACACACACACACACACACACACACACATCTACTCTTAATATTTAATTATCTTATTTTATTTAATTTAAATACGGTTTTATTATTTATTGTTAACATTTCATACACAACATGTAATTTTTAGTATTGATTTTAATTATTATTA